AAAAAAAAAAAGAGTATATGTTATATGGTAGATACTGGTTCTCAATATGGCAGGAAGCAAACAAAACAGACATAATTCTTTCTTTGTAATACCTATGGTCTGTAGAGAGATAATAGCTCACTCATATATAGGGTTTATGCCAAACACTGTTCTAAGCACTTAACAAATATTAAATCATTTGATCCAAGGTTTCTTCTGCACTAATGGTAATTTGGCTAGATAATAGGACACTTACGGGGGGATGTCCTAAGCACTGTGAGATGGTTAGCAGCATCCCTGGTCTCTACCTACTATCCCCCAGTAAGACACAATTGCCCTTAGTTGAAAATCACTTATCTAATCCATAAACATCTTATAGATGAGGAAACTGAAGCCTGGAGAGGTTAAAAGACTTTCCTGAGGTCATGTAGCTAGAAAGTGGCCCAGCAAGAAATGGATGGAATCCAAGCCATCTGACTCTAGTGTTCATGCTGTTAACCACTGTGATACACGTGTAGGGTGCAAGAGAGCATGTAATTGTAATAAGGGGATGTAACCTAATGCTGGGAAGTTAATGAACGAATTCCTGAGGAAATGACCATAGATCTGAGACCTTAAAAGTGAGTAGGGGCTCGGCGCCTGTGGCTCAAGTGGCTAAGGCGCCAGCCACATATACCTAAGGTGGCAGGTTCGAATCCAGCCCGAGCCCGCCAAACAACAATGGAGTGTTCCAGATAGTTTGGGAATAAGCATGTACAGAGGTCAGATGTGGAAGGCCAGTGTACCTGAAGTTCAGTGAGGTAGGGAGAGCCTGAAATGAGATGATGAGATGAATATGGAGAGGTTACTAGAGTCAGGCTGTTCAGGATCTTGTATACTGAGAACTATGGAAACCGTATGGTATGATCTATGTTTTTAAAACGTCTCTTGGACTTCACTGTGCAAAAGAAGTTAATTTTTATATGTAATATGAGGTAGAGATTCAACTTCATTCTTTTTGAATATGGATAAATTGTCCCAGCACAAATTTGTTGAAAATACCATTTTTTCTCTATCAAATTATCTTCACACTCTCATTGAAAAATCAGTCAACCAGGTGCCCGTAGCTCAGTGGTTAGGGTGCCGGCCACATGCTCCCAGGCTGTTGGGTTCGAACTCAGCCTGGGCCTGCTAAACAACAACAACAAAAAATAGCGGGGCATTGTGGCAGGCACCTATAGTCCCAGCTACTAAGGAGGTTGAAGCAAGAGAATTGCTTGAGCCCAAGAGTTTGAGGTTGAGGTAAGCTATGACATAACAGCACTCTACCGAGGGTGACAAAGTGAAACTCTCTCAATAAAAAAAAGAAAAAGAAAAGAAAATCAGTTGACTGGCTTGGTGCCTGTGGCTCAAGTAGCTAAAGAACCAGCCACATACACCTATTTTCAAGATTATTTTAACTGTTCATTTGGTTAGATATTTGGACAGTTTAATGACATTTCCTAAATCCTGCCAGGGCTAAATTAGAGATTGGGGATTGGCTTGGCACCTATAGCTCAGCCTCTAGGTCGCCAACCACATACACCAGGGCTGGCAGGTTTGAACCCAGCCTAGGCCTGCCAAACAACAGTGGCAACTACAACAAAAAAATAGCTGGGTGTTATGGCAGGTGCCTGTAGTCCCAGCTACTTGGGAGGCTGAGGCAAGAGAATTGCTTGAGCCCAAGAGTTTGAGGTTGCTGTGAGCTGTGATGCCATGTCATTCTACCAAGGGCAACATAGACACTGTCTCCAAAAAATAATAATAATAATAGAGATCAGGGAAGTATGTTTTCGTTCACATGAGGCATAGATAATTTTTATTCAAACTACAAAAAAACCTTCCCAACTTCTTATTTATCTCTGGCAGATTTTTTTGTTTTGTTTTGTTTACTGTAGAGACAAGGTCTAACTGTGTTGCCTAGTCTGGTTTTGATTGTCAGATTGCTTGATTGCCTCAAGCAGTCTTCTCACTTTGACCTCCCAAAGTACTGGGATTATAGGCATGAGCCATCATGCCCAGCCTAGAATATTTTTAGAAATAGGGTCTTGGCTCAGCGCCAGTGGCTCAAGCGGCTAAGTCGCCAGCCACATACACCTAAGGTGGCAGGTTCAAATCCACCTGGACCGCCAAACAACAATAATGGCTGCAACCAAAAAAAAAAAAAAATAGCCGGGCGTTCTGGCGGGCACCTGTGGTCCCAGCTACTTGGGAGGCGGAGGCAGGAGACTCGCTTGAGCCCAGGAGTTGGAGGTTGCTGTGAGCAGCGAAGCCATGGCACTCTACCCAGGGTGACAGCTTGAGGCTCTGTCTCACAAAAAAAAAAAGAAAGAAAGAAATAGGGTCTTGGTATATTGCCCAGGCTGGCCCCAAACTCTTAGACTCTGATAATCCTCCTGTCTCAGCCTCCTCAATACCTGGGACTGTAGACGCACACTGCTGCACCCGTCTAGCCCTGGCAGAATGTAAGGGGATGAAAGATTTAGGTGAAACAGGTCAATGGAAAATGTGGTTGACAGTGGTCTCTGATTATAATAAGGCCAACAGAGCCAGAATGACAATCTGGCAGTACTAACCATCAGGGACCCAATAGGAAGAAGGGTGGGGTGGGATTTTGTTTACTCTTGGGTTTTATGTTTGTTTGAGACAGAGTCTCACTTTGTCACCCTTGGTAGAGTGCTCCAGCATCACAGCTCACAGCAACTTGAACTCTTGGGCTCAAGCAATTTTTTTGCCTCAGCCTCCCAAGTTGCTGAGACTACAGGTGCCGCCACAACACCCAGCTGTTTTTAGAGATGAGGTCTCACTCTGGCTCAGGCTGATCTCGAACTTGTGAACTCAGGCAATCCACCCACCTTGGCTTCCCAGAGTGCTAGGATTATATAAGCATGAGCCACTGCACCCAGCTGTGTTTGCTCTTATCTCTGAAGGAATCTCATATCCTATTTTTTGTGCTCTTGTATGTCTTAGGGAATTGGACCCCATCCTGACTGAGGTCACCCTGATGAATGCCCGCAGCGAGCTATACTTACGCTTCCTCAGGAAAAGGATCAGCTCTGATTTTGAGGTGGGGGACTCCATGGCCTCAGAAGAAGTAAAGCAAGGTAAAATGTGCTTGTCATATTCTCTGAGTGGGCTGGCACTGTTTGTAATAGTTAAGCAATAGATCTCTCAGTGTTCAAGACCAGCTTGGACAACAAAGTGAGACCCCCGTCTCTACAAAAAAAAATTAACATTAGCTGGGCATGATGGCATATGCTGATAGTCTCTACAAAAAAAAATTAACATTAGCTGGGCATGATGGCATATGCTGATAGGCCCCAGCTACTCAGGAGCCTGAGGCAAGAGGATTGCTTAAGCCCAGGCATATAAGGCTGCAGTGAAATATGATCGTGCCACTGCACTAAAGCCTGGGCAACAGAGCAAAACCTTGTCTCTAAAAAGAATTTTTAATTTTTTTTTTTTTTTTAAGAGACAGAGTCTCACTTTGTCACCGTTAGAATACCATGGTGTCACAGCTCACAGCAACCTCCACCTCTTGGGCTTAGGCGATTCTCTTACCTCAGCCTCCCAAGTTGTTGGGACGACAAGTGCTTGCCACAACATCCGGCTATTTTTTTGTTGCAGTTTGGCCAGGGCCAGGTTTGAACCTGGCACCATTAGTATATGGGACCAGTGCCCTACTCACTGAGCCACAGGCACCACCCAAAAATTTTTTAACTTTTAAAAAAGGAAGAAAAAATGAGTAAGGTATGCAGAAACATAGAAAATATTTATGCTGGCTCGGCGCCTATAGCTCAACTGGCTAAGGCGCCAGCCACGTACACCTAAGGTGGCGGGTTCGAATCCCCAGCCCAGACCCGCCAAAACAACAATGACGGCTGCAACCAAAAAATAGCTGGGCATTGTGGCGGGCGCCTGTGGTCCCAGCTACTTGGGAGGCGGAGGCAGGAGACTCGCTTGAGCCCAGGAGTTGGAGGTTGCTGTGAGCTGTGATGCCACAGCACTCTACCCAGGGGGACAGCTTGAGACTCTGTCTCAAAAAAATATATATATATTTATGCTATACTTTTTTTTTTTTTCTGAGACAGAGCCTCAAGCTATTCCCCTGGGTAGAGTGCTGTGGCATCACAGCTCACAGCAACCTCCAACTCCTGGGCTCAAGCGAGTCTCCTGCCTCAGCCTCCCAGGTAGCTGGGACCACAGGGGCCCGCCACAATGCCCAGCTACTTTTTGGTTGCAGCCATCGTTGTTTGGTGGGCCTGGGCTGGATTTGAACCCACCACCTTAGGTGTATGTAGCTAGCGCCTTAGCCACTTGAGCCACAGGTGCCAAGCCTATACTTTTTTTTTTGCAGTTTTGGCCAGGGCTGGGTTTGAACCCTCCACCTCCGGCATATGGGGCCGGTGCCCTACTCCTTGAGCCACAGGCGCCACCCGAGCCTATACTTTTTTAAAGCAAAATACAAAATCATATCTGTACTGTGATTATAATCATGTAAAATACATACATATTTGGAATAAAGACTAGAAAAAAACTTGAAAAAATGAAAAAAGTTGCTCTGTTTTTTTTGTTGGGGAAATTGAGTATTCATTTCTTGGCTGTCCCCTAGAGCACCAGAAGTGTCTGGACAAACTCCTCAATAACTGCCTATTGAGCTGTACCATGCAGGAGCTAATTGGCTTTTATATTACCATGGAGGAGTACTTCATGAGGGAGACTGTCAATAAGGTAGGACATAGACCACATCTCTTAGTAATGGGGCTTGCTGTCCAAGAATGCGGGCTGAAGGAAATGGCTGAGCACATCCTGCATTTCTTTGTCCTGCTTTGAGAATACCCTTGCATGTAAACTGAGTGGCACCACACATGGTTAGAGGGCATCTTTGGAGTTATTGTGCTCTTTGTATACCTAGTAGGGACTTTCCCAAGGATTTCAAAAGAATAGCTCAACTCCTCAGGGTGCCTACTTGTTCTGGCTCCCTGGAGGCATTGGTTGAGGAGCCTCAGGGAAGCAGGACCTCTATTGGGATGTCTTACATCCCAGGTAATAGATGTTCCCTGGGCAAAAATCTCTAACCTAGAGAACAATAGAGAAGCGAGCTGTTGTGGCAAGGAGGATCTAGACCAGTGGTTCTCAACCTTCTTAATGCCGTAATGTATTTTCATTGTTAGAAAGGGGTCGCCACCCACAGGTTGAGAACCGCTGATCTAGACCAAGCTGTGACCAGAATAAGCTATGTTGGGAGAAACATGAACAAGGTATAGAGAAGGGAGCAGCACCAGGGCCAGTGTCACTAGAACCATCTAGATCAGGACATACAGAACTAGGACTCTCACTGGGTGCTTTGCCTTTTGGGTAGGCTGTGGCTCTGGACACCTACGAGAAGGGCCAGCTGACATCCAGCATGGTGGATGATGTCTTCTACATTGTTAAGAAGTGCATTGGGCGGGCTCTGTCCAGCTCTAGTATCGACTGTCTCTGTGCCATGATAAACCTCGCCACCACAGAGCTGGAGTCTGACTTCAGGTACAGCTGCCTCCCTTTCTCCTATCTAGGCAGAAAGGTCCTAGATCACCAGAGTTTATTTGTTTCTTCATTTTTTTTCCTTTTAATTCTAGTTCACTTGTATGCAAGAGATACATAAGTTCCTGTCCCTAACACAATATCCTTCACTCTAGGAAGCTTTTGATCAGCTAGCTATCTTATGTGTCAAATTTCTGTTCTCTGAACTGGACTGAAGAGGCAATTAATTGGTCCTCGGTTCTAGGAAAAAGAACAGGCAGTTCAAATCAACACCTCCTAAGTGGTGGACTATAAAGTCCAAAGTGGACTGACTCAAAACCAATTCTCAATTCCTGTATGGTGCTGCCTTTCGCTGAGCCATACTGCCTCTGCTTCATTTGTTGGAGTGCAGTAGTGATAACTGAAAGCTTCATAAGAAGTATAGAATTGGCTAGTCTCCTCTAGATGTCTTGTCACATCAGTGTCCTTGAAGGATGTTGGTCCCTCTCATACCCTGGCTCCTCCATCTCCTACAGTGGTCTCAAGGATTTGTTATCCTCCCAAAAGAGCAACTTGTGCTGCTGGATCAGGGTGGTAGACACTCTGGTCCTGCTGCCCTGGAGGCAAAATGCTGTCACTCTTCATATGCCACCCTGTCCCCCAGGGATGTTCTGTGCAACAAGCTGCGGATGGGCTTCCCAGCCACCACCTTCCAGGACATCCAGCGCGGCGTGACAAGTGCAGTGAATATCATGCACAGCAGCCTCCAGCAGGGCAAATTTGACACAAAAGGCATCGAGAGCACTGACGAGGCCAAGCAGTCCTTCCTGGTAGGTACCCACAGACCAGCAACTGGGTCAGTTTATCTTGGGAGGTTGAACTAATATCTCTAAGCCACAGTATTATTGGCATTGAGCTGGAGACTCTTCCCTCCAGTGTCAATATAGAAGGAAAAGTCTTACTTTAAGGAAAGCTCCTTCTAGAAATTTCTGAAACTATTTCTCACTCAGGGATCTGTTTTTTCTGAACAGCCTGAGTCAGGATATGCTTCATTGCCCAGCTATTCAGAGGCCCCACTGAGTGTCAAGCTTGGCTCACATCAGCCACAGAACCAGCTGTAGCTGACATCTGTGGCAGACCTCCAGACTACTTCTCTAAGGAGATTCCCATATCACAGGTGGGCAGCAGTCCTTTAGGCCCTCCAGGACTGCTTTTCTGGTGTACATTTGAGGCTTTAGCTTCCTCTGGTAAGGTGACCTTACTAAAGCCCTCAACTACCCAGAATGGCAGGTGTGATGTGAGTCTTAGCAGTTGTGTGACAGCTCAACAAAGAAAAGCATGGAAGAATGAAAGGATCCGTACAAAGTAACAGCCAGTTTGTAATAAGCCAGAGAGAACACATGAGTCCTAAGCCTATGCTTCTATGGCAAGGGATATCTTGGCATGCTGTCCGAAGTCTATTCTCCACCTCTCACATTGTGAAGATTAGAGCCTAAAGGAAACAACTAATAGCAGAACTCTCAATAGTCCACAGAGGGGATTGTTTGCAAAGATGTACATATGTATTTTGCTGGAAGCAGGGTCCTTAGCTTTTGTCGGATTCTTTCTTTTTTTTTT